ACGTATTGTTAACTATTTTCGATATCTGTTTGGACTATTCGATATGCCCATAATGTAGTTCTTGAAATAAGTTTTGAGATGATATAAGCAATTTGTAAATTCGATTAGTGTACGATCGTCAGAGAATTTTTAAAATTAGCATATAATCGAAATTCAAATTTATTGTGATTCTGCCCCTATTTGGTAGAGATTAAAATCAAATTTTTAGTAAATTTTGATAAAAGTTAAACAATTATGGATTCCATGAAATATGTTATTAAAATTAATTGTTAATTTTGATTTATATTAAAATTTAAATTTCAATTAATACAAAACATGACTTAAAAAAAATCTCAAAAGTTGGGGGCACATGCCCCCAGGACCCCCGGGTCTGCCAGTGCCTTGAAGAACAGAGAAAAGCTTGATCAAATCCGAAAATCTTTGAGAATGAAGAAGCAAAAAAATGACAAGTAGAAACTATGTATGCATACTTCATATATTATGGTAGATGATTTGAAATAAGTAGCTAAGTATTAGACCATATCCAACCAAGAACGCCAAATTTGGTGTAGATTGTTTTACGCCAAATCATTTAATTACAAATTATATTATTACAAAAATCGCTAAATTAGAAATTATATTTAATGAACTAAAATATTGCACTTATTAATGAACTGAAAAAAAATATTAAACATAATATCGCAATTAAAAAAATTACATATAATGAAAATGGCAACTCGTTTTGTTACTTATTTATCAAAATTAGTATATTCATCCCATACATGATCAATTAATGCATCTCGAAGTGCAAAGTGCACATCTACATCCTTTATTTGTCTACGTCGACTAAGGAATTATTGAAATCGGATATTTTTATCTACAACTATCTCAAATTTCGGAGTCGGCTCTTCCATCGAATCTTCAATTTGTACATAAACTTTTAACTTTTTTTATGAACAATTTTAATTTATTGTATCAATAATTATTACCTATTAATTTATTATTGCTTATAAAACCATTATCGGTAATTAAACTAATACAAAAAATTACTCTTTTATTTAAAACAAAAAATAATTTCAAATACTTTAACAACAATAATACATCAGAGAGTTTTTCCTTTTTTTTTTTTAATTAAATTGGCGGGGCTAATATATAATTAAAAAAAATTAAAAGAAGCCTGCTCATTAATTAAACCATTAATGCAAAAGTGTGAAATTTGTCATCGTGTACAGTGATGTCAAATGCCATGCCTACATATATGAAGGCATTAATTAACAATTAATCTAGTTTATATTTTTTGTTCTTGAAATCGGTCAAGCCCGGTTCGTTCGTAGATGTTCGGCACGACTTACAATTTTTAACAAGTAAGAACATCCCAAAAAAAAAAAAAAATTAAATTAAATCTCAACTCATTCTAGCTGAGTTCATCAATTTTTAATTTTGTATTGTTTTGATAAAAGCAAAAAATTGTGCGAGCTCTAGTGTGAAATCAAGAACAATCTATATCACGTTGAGTTTATAATGGATTTAAGAAGTGTCGAGTCATCTCATATTTACACTCCGTTTAAATACAATTTATAAATTTAATTAAAATTAAATATTAATTTCAATCACACATTCATAATTGCTACTTATGATATTTACATAACTCATTATTATTTATTTTTGTAAATTTGTCAAACGAAAACTTAAATAACCTGATCCACACTATTACACCTTGTAAATGCATGGAAAAGTTAGAAAGATTCACCCTACGTATGGATGGTAACGGAACGGGTATGAGACGAGTCGTTCATTTCCACCTTCGTCCCGTCAGGCATTTTTGTCACTTTGCTCCGTCTCCATTCCCAGTTAAAACGAGACAGGGTGAGTCCGGGGAGGGGCAGAGCAAGTCCCTTCATTTATTTTATTTTTATTTATATCTTCAGTTAGTAAATATTATTATCTTTTTTTTTTTTAATTTGTTAAGAACAACTTATATTCTCTTTAAAAATGATGATACATTTTTTATTTTTCTTTGATAAAAAATTTAAATTTGAAATTAACTTTAAATGGACGGGTAGCGAGACAGGGGCTATGTTTCTCGAGTTTTGCTACACAAACATAATGTTTGACAAAGAGGATGACACAACACACACATGGGGAGATCGACATTATTTAATTTAGGTCGGAACCCACATGTAATGTGAGAGGTCGGTCAACCCCTATTTTAAACATTATGTTCATTTAGCTTAATTCATGTTTCTCGTACCCACTTCGAGGCAATGAACCCTATCCCGTCCTTGCCCCATTTATCCGATTAGGCATGTAATCTCCGCCCCATTCGAGATGGAGCCTGCGAATATCGTGTTGAACGGATTTTTTTGTCATCCATGACCCTACAATCTTCTAAAAGGCAAAACTTATTAAAAAAAAAACAAGAAAATAATGGTTAGCCAACATTTGTTCCAATGTCGCCTTCAAAAAAGTCGTGGGTCGTGAGTCATGTTCCGGGTCAAAACTATTTTTCTTTTTCTAATTCAAAAGCTTGATTAAGTAATTATGACAATTTAAAGAAATTTCTATATACACATTCCTGTATAATACGTTCTAGAAGAGAATGATAAATCAAAATAA